TCGTGACGCGGCTCCAAGTCTCTGATCCGTATAGCAAGTAGCACTGACTTCACATTGGAGTTGACAATGCGGATCTTATTTTTCATGCTGAGTGTTGATCTCCCCACAGACTTGAGAGAAATGAAAGCTTGCCTTGTTTTCTCGATCCTCGCTTTGATGATATCCGCATCAGTTCCGTCCGCCTGTAGTTGAAACGAAACTTCCCAGGTAGGTAGGTAGGTAGGTAGGTAAAAGAGGTTGCTTCTTTCAGATTTCTCCCACTTAAGCTGATTGTTGTCTGTTGTTGTTGCTGCTGCTGTTCGTCTGGTATCTTCATAAGCTCTGTTTTCTATATGTTCACGTGAAGTCCTGTCTTCTGTAGATGCTTCTTCTATCGCTAACTTGTTGCTTTTCATTTGCATATCTTCCAATTTGTGGGTAATTAGACATATATCATCGGCGAAGTCCAGATCCTCCAAGTTTCTTTTTGTGTGGATCCATTTTATTCCTGTCTCCTCGTTGTTTGCTGTCTGGCGCATTTATACAGTCTACCGCAATTAGGAAATTAACCATTGGAGATAGTAGGCAGCCAGCTGACCTTGTCTTACTCCCGTCTTCACTTCTTCGAAGGATTCTGTGAGTTTCCCGTTGTGGATTACTTGACATGCAGCATTGTCATTACTTCAAGATTTATTTCCTCAGAGTATATCATCTCCTGTTTGGCGATATGTTCTTGGTTGGTTCGTTATCCGCCAAAGTTCTGTGCTGCTTACACCTTCTGATTAGGTCATCTGATCTTGCAGAACGAGTAGTCAGCTAAGATAACACTGTTGACGGCAGTTTTCAGTAGCCTGTTCAAAATGCTTTTTTTTTCGTGATACTCCTAGTCTGTCAAACATATAGAAGGACTGACGTGACAGTAGTCCTGAATAACAGAATCTTGTTCTTCATGCTTAGTCCAGTCCAGTAGAATTTCCACCACAGTGATTTCGCCACTTCGCATTTAGGTTACCCTTAAGCGATGGCCTGACGTGTGATGTTATATCACTTGATGGTTTGTTTTCTCAGAGTATGGCCAATCCAATTCACCTCCATTTCTTTCTGCATATTTGATTCCTGGTTGATTCCTTCCAAGAGATCCCTGCTGCTGATCTTTTCTGGCCAGCCATCTATCTGATCTTGAGCAAAGTGTTGAGCGAAGACAGCTATTAATAAAGGTCTGTAGTTTGTTTAAACTACCCTCATAATACACTTATAATTACGTGATATAACGACACACTATTGGTTAGGCGTCGAGTGCTAGGTCGGCTGGAGGGGAAATCAATTGACGAGGCTGTGAAATTACATCGACTGAGATGGTTAGGACATGTGTTACGCATGCAACAATATCCATCGCCTTCCTCGACGGGTAATCTTAGCTGATATATGGTCAGGCTGGAAAAGAGCTAGCGGCGTTCAAACGAAAATATGGCACCAGTCAATAAAATCTATAGTAGTTACTCTAAGCCACGTAGGTAGGTGTAGACTTCCTGGTTGGGGTCCTCGGGATGGTAAAAACCAATGGTTGGAAACAATTGGTGACGTGGCTCAAAATCGTTCTCAATGGCTAGCGCAGATGCATCCACTCCTTGTGACTTATGATTTCCAATGAAACTGTTTTGTTCTTCGTTATTACTATTCCTTTGTCTCACACCTGTTTACTGTCTATATTATGCATTTCTTCTACTTTCTTCTCTTGCTTTGTGTGCTACATAGAGTGGAGTGTGGCGACTTGAACTGCCGCACATCAGTGCAAAGTTCTATGTCGAAAACAGACAGATAGACACACTATTGAAATATATAAATTTTTCTATTTTCTCAATAACAAATTACTGACACGATTTTCAGAATACACTTCACATATATCACAATAATGACAAAAAATCAATACTTATATATCAAAACAGATGACACATTTCAATGACACAAACTAACTATCATTTTGAACATAAATGCAATAAAATAAATTTGTTTAATTATAATTCATGCATACAATGGCTAATTCAATTATATTATTATTGAACACAAAATACTTATCACTCCAATATAGATTTTGTTATAAGCTGGCATAAATTAGGAAATCAGTATAAACCAGTAGAGAGTAATTGGATAGCTGTTTCGTCCTAGTTTGAGATTCTTCAGCAAGGCACATATCATCGTATCAAAGATAGAACACAACACTCATAGATTACATATCAAAAGCTGGATGATAATTCAGCCTATTGGGCTAGAATTCAATGATGCATGAATTCGAACTTCTGTCAATTTGTCAACTTATAACATCGATGAGCGTCCTTTTCATTTTGAGAAGATGATCTTCCATGTCGGCAACTTCAGGAAAGCAACCCTGTGATGGTCGATAAGCTGCATATCAGCATTTTGATCATAGAATTTTTAAGAGATTCACAATATATGACATGAATTATTGAATTCCGGAAAAAGTTAAAGTCTCGATGGTGATGAGTGCACGCCACTGAAGAGTCGAAGATAAGGACGAAACAGATCTCCGGTACTCTCTGATTTTCAGTGATTTGTTAACTGATACTGATTGGTGATGAATTATACATTGAAATGATCAATGTTTTGTGTTCATACATAAAATTGTTGAATTAAGTCGTTGTTTATTTGAATCATAATTGAACATAGTTACTTTATTATGCTTACATTCATATTTCCTCGCCCTTCTTTTTTTCCTGTTTTTCAACACATAACTTTGCACTGATGTGCCACAGTGCAAGTCGCCACACTCAACTCCATGTAGCACACAAATCAAGAGAAGAAAGTAGAAGAAATGCATAATATAGACAGTAAACATAGGTGTGAGACAAAGGAATAGTAATAACGAAGAACAATATAGTTTCATTGGAAATAAGCCACAAGGAGTGGATGCATCTGCGCCAGCCAGCCATTGAGAACGATCACTTTGAGCCGTATCACCAAGTGTCTCCAGCCTTCATTGGTTTTATCGTCCCGAGGACCCCAACCAGTCAGTAAGCTAGTCTACATCTTCCTACGTGGCTGGCTTAAACTAACTGTTGTTGATTTCATTCACTGGTGCCGTGTCCTAACCATTTAAGTCGATGTAGCTACACAGCCTCGTCTATTGATTTCCCTTCTCACCCACCTATTACTTAACCGACGCCTAACCTCAATACTGCTCACCCTATTATACCGCTTCACACAAGAGATACAGCGCAGGCACCTATGATCAAAGACAGCTAGTCTTTTCATGTCTTCCATATTTAATGGCCAGGTCTCAAAGCTAGCAATAAAGGAGGAAGGAGCGGACTGATGCTGAGTAGTACACACGCCCTTTGGTTCACAGCCAGCCGGATACCACGTCTACTAAGCCACAGATGGTGTAAACTAGCATATGCGAAACTAGCCCTCTGTATCCATCCTGAGATCTCGTCAATGCTCATTTTCCAATTAGTCAGTTCGAAAGAGGTCACTTAACTTCACTTATCTAGGAAGCATCGATCCGACTACAGGCACTCGACACCACTGAAGATTTCAAAATCAGAAATGGAAAGTCAACATAGATATTAATCACTTTGAAGTCAATGTTGAAATCTTTTTGCACACAGCCTAATGAAGAAAATTTGGATTTTCAGCACCAATGTTAAGTCACAGTCAGTGCCTTCCATATGGACCAAAAACTTGCACTGGGCGTCATGGAAAGCCTTTCCAATAGGCTACTACAGACTCTTATCAACAACTGCCTTTCACTGGCTCCATACTGAAGATCAGATGACTAACCAGAAGGAATTAGTAACCGGAAACTCAGGGAACGAACCAATTATGAATCTATGGCTCAACAAATATACTGAAGATAATGGAGATGAATCGAACACAAAATATTGAGGAGACTGTTGGGTGACATCACGCACCAGACCATCATTCCTGTGGAACATGAATGAGTAACGACGAGTTAAGCGTGTTTCCGAGGGTGACATGTAGGAGGTCGTGAGGCGAGGAGGAGATAACAGACTATGGGCAATGATGAGACCAGCTACTAACGAGAACTGCAGGGACCGGGACAAAGTGGAGATGTACTATTTTTACCCTATATTCCACTCCGAACCCAAAGAAACAATAATAATATAACTTTTAAAAAGCGAGAACCACTACACAGTAGTTCTGTCTAATTCAAAAACAGTGGACTGCTCAAATTTTATATCCATTGAAACATATAGTACTTATTCTTGTTTCATATTGTTCCGGTTATCCATTTACGTCTATGAATAACAACCTTTACTACCTCCCATTCTATCTACAACTATGAATATTTTGAAAGTAATGTAGGAAGAACATTATGGATTAGTGTTGGAGCATGGAAAAATATTGATTCCTCTGATGCTATATAGTATCGATTATTATATTACTTGAAGGTTCTGTACAAACATGGCATCAGTCAATGAAATCCACAACAGTTAGTTTAAGCCAGCCGCCACGTAGGAAGGTGTAAACTTCTTGGTTGGGGTCCTCAGGACGGTAAAAACCACTGAGGACTGGAGACAGTCGGTGATATGGCTCAAAGTGCGCACTGATGAAGAGTCCCAAAGTGAAACGAAACAGCTGTCCAGTACTCCCTGGTCGGTTTTTCAATGGTTCTCTAACCAATATCATCTCATGATGAAATCCTGTAACTAATAGAGGAAAAATATTCTACCGAAGAGAGAAGGAGACAGAGAAGAATTACCAATTATCGACAGAAAATAGAGCGGAACTAAACAGGCGATAAAGAAGGATACTTTTATTAAGCTTTTTGGGTCCAATTAGCAAGAAATCTTAGACCTAAAACTTCAACAGGGCATATCTGATACCTCTGGAAAATCCAAACCAGTATCACCTAGTATACTTCAGTTAAAGACGTTACCACTGAGGTCTGTAGGCTTGCCTAAAAATGACCTCCTGTAGAAGGAGGCAAAATTAAAGAACAATTTTTTTCTTGTTTTTGAAGACAGGAAAACAACGCTTACCTAAATGTTTATAAAGTTGACCAAGAATTTTTGCCGGATATATATTAATACCAGCTTCATCGTAAATTTCTTCAAATGTTTGTACATCAACTTGATATTCCATTAACTGGTGTTTAATATCATTATCCTCTGCAACAAGTACAACTTGTACAGAAAGATCAGGTTTTGGTTCAGCAACCTGAAATATACCCACAAGAAGAAATAATAATAATAGTAATAATTATGAACATACGCACTTATGACTCCAAAAAAGGATCGAAACTAGAACCTTTAAGATATGAATTGAATCTGTTGACCATTTAGCCAGTGGAACTGGTTCCTCCACAGGGAATCGAACCGAGGCCATCTAAATAACAAGCAGAGATGACTAAATGACAGAGTGTCTGCCAATCACACATGTATTTTTTCCTTCACGTTCCCCAGTGGAACATAGGGCACCTTCAAGCTGGTGGCTTGAAGTTTCTGTAGCAGTGTTTATTTTACAGGATGGGGTCGCTAGCCTCATGCCCAACCTTTCCTCTTTACCAGCATTATTTCTGGCTTAGCGAGGTAAAGGAGTGCGTCGACTGGGCATCGAGCCCCGGACCATGTGCATGATCAGCGAGCGTCCTAAACACTATGCCACCGACGCAATCACGCATGTGGTTCGGGTAAGAAACCCGCAAGCTGACAACACTCCTAAACCTTATATTTTAGGAGTGCATCAGTTGGGATCTATCAGTATGGTTGGCTGGCTGGCTGGCAAACATTCCACCACTCAAAACACCGACGATACACCACCAGTGAATGATAATTGAAGGTAGAATGAAAATCCCAGTCGCAACAGGAAATAATGACTTGGTTAGCCAATGGGTCCTGAAGGTCAGCTGCAAGAGTCTAGGACTAGTGATTCAGAGGCTAATTGCTCGACTGAAGTTTTCATCTCGTCTTCAAACATCACTGATTACATCGCCAACCACGACGATCATCGACCGACGCACTACTAAACCTCCCTGAACCTGTATTAAGTCTGGTAAAGAGGAAAGGCTGGGCATCAGACTAGCAATCTCATTCCGTAAAAATAAATATCATTGCTAGGGAAACTTCAAAGCTCTCTAGGCTTAAAGTCGCCCTATGTTCCACTGGGAACGTAAAGGAATAAAAAAAGAATTTTAGTGGGTAATCCCTTGGCGTTTGAAACGATGAGAGAGGAGGTTTCGAGTTTCACTGGGAACACCATCCATCATTTACTAGGAATGTGGGTGCATACAGCCGACGAGTCCCGAATAGGATGAACTGTACAGTTTGGATTCTACCGCTAGTCACTATCCACCAAAATAATATTGAAAAAACCAAATATCAAATGAAACTGAGAACATGACGTCATTAAAAGAAGACAACTTACTCTAAAACGCTGACGACGAAAATTAAAACAGGACACAAGATATTCATAATCCTAAGGTAGAATACATTTAAACACCAAAAAAATTTGTTCAACGCTTCTTTAATGATCGTTAACACAATTCTTCATCCAAATTAGACATTACTAAAGGAAGCTCTGCCACCGACAATTATACATCTCGTCCAACGGCTGTACGACAATGCTGCATGCCAAGTAATCCAAAACGGGAAACTTACGGAACCCTTCGAAGTGAGGACAAGAGTAAGACAAGGCTGCCTACTATTGCCAATGATTTTCCTGATTGCAGTAGATTGGATAATGCGACAGTCAGTGGGCAACGAGGAAACAGGCATAAGATGGACCCATACAAAAAACTTGGAGGATCTGGACTTTGCCGATGATATATGTCTGATTTTCCAAAAACTGGAAGATATGCAAGCGAAAAGCAACAAGTTGGCAGAAGAAGCATCCAGAGAAGATAGGACTGCAGGTGAACATAGAGAAAACAGAGGTAATGAAGATTCCTCGACATGAACAACAACAACAGACAACGATCAGTATAAATGGAAGGAACCTGAAAGAAACAACCTCTTTTACCTACCCACCTACCTGGGAACCACTGTTTCAACTACAGGCGGAACTGACGAGAATATAAAAGCAAGAATCGGAAAAGCAAGACAAGCTTTCACTACTCTCAAGTCTGTGTGGAGGTCAACAGCACTCAGCATCAAAAATAACATCCGGATTTTCAACTCCAATGTGAAGTCAGTGCTACTTACTGTACGGATCAGAGACTTGCACTGCGCGTCATAAACAGCATCTCAAACAAACTACAGACCTTCATTAACAGCTGTCTCCGCACAATACTCAAGATCAGATGGCCAGCCAGAAAAGATCAGCAACAGGGATCTCTGGCAATGAACGAACCAACACAGCAGGAACCGATTGTGAAACAAATAGGCAGGAAGAAATGGAGATGGATTGACCATACTCTGAGGAAACAAACCATCAATTGACATCACTAGACAGGCCATCGCTCGAATGGAACCCGAAAGGGAAGCGGCGAGTTGGTCGTCAGTGCGAGGGTGATATGGAGGAGGTCATATGAAGAGGAGATGAAAACGTGTGGGCAGACTTGGAGCCAGGTAAAGACTCTAGCAGAGAACCGAACGCAATGGAGACGTGCAGCTGAAGCCCTATGTTCCTGTAGCAATTAAAGGAAACAATAATAATAATAATAACCCAATTCTTGATCCAGAATTTGTGGCATGGCGTGGGACGGGTGGCTGGTTTCTTACGGCCAGCCCCTGTCACTTGGAGGCCTATGGTGGCTTCCAATCTTCCCCAATGGAGTTATTTGGTAAGTTTTATTTATTTTTATTTTATTTTTATTATTAGCTTTCATGTTTAGGCCAGGTTTTAGAGTGATGTTTACTATGCTAGGGCTTTAGGGACCATACGGTCTAAGTTTGTTTAGGGATGCTTTGGCATAGGAAAGCTATATATCAATCGGTAGCTCTCGACTAGATCTATCTTTAGACAGTGGTTTCGACCCTTGTAGCTCCTCCTCAGCCCTCCCCAGGTTCTTTGATATCTGGGCTTGCGCCCTCTGGGGTTGTCCTGCCAACATTTTTTTTTTCTAGGGAGGCTAGGACTTAGGTGAAGTTATATATCAATGGATAGCTCTCATAGCGACCTATCTTTTGACATTGGTTTCGAACTTTGTAACCACCCTGTAAACAAACCTGCTACAGAAACTTCACCATGAGCAATCTCCTTGCGACAAAAGAAAAAGTCTGTGTGGGGACATGGAATGTCCGCACTATGTACGAGACTGGCAAAGCTGCCCAGATCGCCAGCGAGATGAAAAGATACAGAATCCAAGTGCTGGGAATATGTGAAAGCAGATGGAATGGAAGTGGACTCACCAAATTATCAACGGGAGAGTCAGTGATCTACTCTGGTCACCCAGAAGATAACCACACACACACCGAGGGCGTGGCTATCATGATGTCACCAACGGCAACGAAAGCCCTGATGCAATGGGAAGCGATCTCGTCCAGGATAATGACCGCCAGATTCAACTCCAAAGGAAGAAAAGTGTCAATAATCCAATGTTATGCACCCACCAACAACGCAGACCTCGAAACGAAAGAAGAATTTTACAGACAACTACAGGCAGCAATAGACAATACTCCAGCTGGCGACATTAAAATACTAATAGGAGATATGAACGCCAAACTGGGACCACACAATACAGGAAGAGAACTCATCATGGGTAGAGAAGCTCTTGGAGAAATGAATGAAAACGGAGAACTCTTCGCCGACTTCTGCGCCTTCAACGAACTAGTGATTGGTGGCAGTGTTTACAAGCACAGAGATATCCACAAGGCTACATGGATGTCACCAGACAAGCGAACCAAAAACCAAATTGACTTTATCACAATATCGAGGAAGTGGAGACGCAGCCTACTGGACACAAGAGCAAAAAGAGGAGCGGACGTTGGCTCAGACCACTACCTCGTACAAGGAACAATCCAAATCAAATTAAAAGCTTTCAGGGAAACAGGAGCTGCAGATAGACCACAAGCCAAGTTCAACACTCAAAAGCTGAAAGACCAGGCTACAAAGGACATCTTCATTGCAAACATAAGGGAAAAAGCCGAGACACAAATCAACACCAACGAAAAGGTCAGCGTCGAAAAGCACTGGAACAAATTGAAAACGGTGTGGAGTCAAACCTGCATGGAAGTCCTAGGCAGAAAAAAGAGACAGGACAAACAGTGGCTCTCTACGGACACTTGGAAACTAATAGAAGAGAGAAGGGTGGCGAAACAAAAGATTATTCAGTGCACCGACGAGCAACAGAAACAGGAGTTGAATGCAAGCTACAATGCACTGAACAAAAGAGTGAAGAAAAGTGCCAGGGAAGACAAAAGAAAATATTGTGAAACCATGGCAAACGAAGCAGAACAAGCTGCAGGCAAAGGAGACCTCGCTACACTATACCAAACAACTAGGCACCTTTCGGGCAAAAGTTCGACACAGATTAAGCCAATAAAGGACGACAATGGAAAGTCAATCACCAAAGAGGTGGAACAGAGAAAGCACTGGGCTGAACACTTCAAAAGACTTCTAAATCGTCCGCCACCTACAACGCGTCCAACAATACCAACAACGGAAGCAGAACTACCAATGAACATCGACCCTCCGACGAAATCCGAAGTCCTGAATGCCATCAAGATGCTAAAAGCTGGGAAAGCGCCAGGACCAGATGGAATCCCAGCAGAAGCTTTGAAAATAGACCCAGAGACAACAGCGGACTTGATGACGCCACTACTAGAGAAGGTGTGGAAAGAGGGCAAAGTACCCGAGGATTGGAAGAACGGATACTTATTCAAACTGCCAAAGAAAGGAGATTTGAGTCAATGTAAAAACTGGCGTGGAATTATGCTTCTGTCCATTCCAAGCAAGATACTATGTCGCATCATCCTGGAGAGAATTAAACAAGCCCTAGATGAAAAACTTCGTCCGGAACAGGCCGGATTCAGGAGGAACAAGTCATGCATTGACCAAATCGCCACCCTACGGATTATCATTGAACAAAGTTTGGAATGGCAGTCACCTCTCTATCTCAACTTCATCGATTTTGAGAAAGCCTTCGACAGCGTCGATCGAGAGGTGATTTGGCAACTACTTCGCTACTACGGAGTGCCGCCGACAATTATACATCTCATCCAACAGCTGTATGACAACGCTGCATGCCAAGTAATCCACAACGGGAGGCTCACGGAATC